CCTTGACACGAAGCTGGGGTAAAAATTGGCCCCAGTTTGTTCCTGGGGTACAAATTTGGCCCCAGTTTGTTCCTGGGGTGCAAATTTGGCCCCAGTTTGTTCCATCCCGCTTCGAATTATATGAGGTAACCGGCATCCGCTTCAAGGCCTTCAATCAATGTTCTAATTAGAAAAACAAATCCAGTTTCCCCCCCCCCCCCCAAAAAAAAAGAAGAAGGAACAAGAGAGGAAGGCGAAGAAGAAGCAAGAATGGGTGGGGCAACCAACGATGTGGGCCACATCTGGTCCCCATGTATGGGCCCAGCTGAGGTGGTACACCCATGAATTGAACTTTTGAAATATGAATCAGACCCAAGTTCGAATCCAGATGCAATCAGCTCAGGTGAGTGGATAACTCGGAATTTCCCTGGGCCTGGTCAGTTTAAAGATGATATCTCAAGGGCGTCGCCCTTCATTAAATATATATATATATATCGTCAAATGGAACATATATATATATCTATCGTCAAATAGAACTGCCCGGTAAACCGTAGGCAGAGAGGGAGAAGAGGACAACAAACGAGGGGCTGTATAAATATATATTGTCACACTGTAAATCAGAGCGCTAAAATGAAGAAACAAAAAGAAGGAAGACATGGGTGGGACGGGTCGGGCGGTGGGTGGTGCCACCGGCTGCGCTTGGAAAGTGGAGGAGGGAAAGAAGAGCTGCATGGACGCTCTCGCCGCCATAGCCATAGCTACCGTCGCGAGAAGACGAAGATGAAGAAGAAGAAGAAAGAAGAAGAGGCAGAACGTGGACGAAGAAGAAGAAGAAGAAGAAATAGGAAAAGGAGGAGGAGGAGGAGGAGGAAGAAGAAGAAGAAGAATGGTGATAAACAAAGGCCAAACAATGTCTTTCACGCATGTAGATCAGCAATCAAAACAGCATGCACTGAACTCAGAAGAAACGCGCAGGATATGAAGAAGAAGAAGAAGAAGAAGAAGAAGGAGGAGGCGGAGGAGGAGGAGGAGGAGGAGGAGGAGGAGGCACCTTCACCCTCGTGCTAACCTTTCAGAGGGGGGGGGGGGGAATAGATTCTGAGGAGAAGAGGAGATAAGAGGGAACACCAGCAGAAGAGGAAGAGGAAGAGAGAGGAGGAGGAGAGAGAGGAGGAGGAGAGAGAGAGGAGGAGGAGAGAGAGGAGGAGGAGAGAGAGGGAGAGGACGAGGAGAGGGAGAGAGAGGAAGAGGAGAGAGAGAGGTGGGTGCTCCCCGCGGTGGTACTAGCGCGCCCTACCTCGAAAGTTACAGAGGGGAGATGGCGACTCTAGTGGTGTTGACGAAAACCAAGGCACACCCAAAACAACAAGCTTCTCGGAGCGAGGGGCCCGAGGAGCCCGGGGAGTCCGAGGAGGAGGAGGAGGAGGAGGAGCCCACCATAGCCCGAACAGAACTGGCTGTTCCCCATTTGGCCATGGCGGTGCGCCTCCTTTCCGCAGAGGTCCCCGGCGTCCAGCGCGGGTCAAGAGAGGCCTGTTCTGAAAACGCTGACGTCAACGCTCATTTCTGCATGGCCCCCTTTCGTTATTTTGTTACGCCGTTTGTCCGAAAAAATCGTCCTTTTTTTTTGCCCCCCAAGAAACACTTGGCGGGAAGACAAACAAAAGAAAAGATAAAAAAAAAACTCGAACTCCCGCGGTCGTCTTCCCACGGAACAAAACGTACCCTGCTGAACGAATGCATGCATGCCATGCATGCCACCTTTCTGGTCTAATACAGTCACATGATGATGGTACGCTGTATTCGTCATCAGCCGTGGATCGCCGTATCTACGGCTGAATCCTCCTGAATCCTCTGCAACGACTGACTGTTCCAGGGTTTGAACCCAGGTCTGCTCAGCAACAGGTCTGTAGGGGTGTATCAGTCCGCCGCATGGGCTGGGCACGGCATTCTTTGTCGTCTTTTCTGATTGGTGGATGCCACCCTTGCGATCTTCGTTCTCTTCCAGACCACGCTTTCTGATCACCGCGCAGACGGCCTGGGCTGTGGAGGGTGGGGCGGGAGGGGGGGGGGAACTCCGAAGTCCATCGTGTAGGTAGCCCTTGTGGCTGAATGTTGCACACATGTTGCTGTTGATGACGAAGTCATGAGTTCGAAACCCCACAAACTAGATGGATAATATGGATACAATTAGCCAAATTATGAGTTAATACATGAGTTAATATGCCCATGGGACCAGATGGATACAATAAAATAATGCTGAATGGGGAGTGCACCCAAAGCACAGTACTTCTCTTACTTATATGGGCTCCGTGCAAGGTAAGAGAGCATTTCTATGCGCGCCTGGGCAGGTAGCGAAAGTTGTAAGCCACTTCGACAAGGTGCAGTTGCGGGCTCACGAGTGGTGGAAGGTTTTTCCCAGGGCTACAAACGCCGTGCGCCCCAAGAAAAGATCAGCAGGCCTCCTTTTGGCCACCCATTTTGCTCCAGCAGCCGACCCCCGAAAGTTGCAGCATGCATGCAGCTGCATCGGAGAAAAATGCCTGGGAAGTGTACCGGTGATTTAAACCACCAGTTCACCTGAAGCTAAAGCCGTCCCCCGAAAGCCGCATCGGAGAAAAATGGTTGGGAAGTGTACTGGTGGTTTAAACCACCAGTACTTGGGGTCTCGTTAGACACTCCTAAAAGTGCCTGTTTTTAGGATTGCGTCTTCGTTGCACGCAATCCTAAATCCAATTTCGAGATCGAAAATGTGAAAACGGCGTTAGGACGAGTCCTAAAGGATTTAGGATTCCCCAGGCAAAATCATCCTAAATTTTCCAGAAGCCCCCAACCTACTGAAAAATTTAGGATTCCCGCGTTTCACGGACTCATTGCGTCGCGCGCATGGCACCGTCGACACTCGTTGGTGGTCCAGAAGCGGTCCGTCGAGTCGGCGGTCGGACATCGGAGGTTTTCTGCGGCTCGATGCGGGCAACGGCCACAAACGGTAGCCGTTGGCGAGGGGGTGGAGCGCGGGGGGGGGCAAGCGGGGGCGGGCTGGCGTCCGTGGTGGACCGTTGGCTGGGCTGCGGGAAGCGGAGGAGGATGACGACGTGCGCAGGATGACATATCGAGGCGCTTCGGGCAGTGCGTGGGAGCCAACGGTCGATTTTCGAATCGAAGGCAGACACCTTTGTCATCTTCTCTGCTGGTTGTCGGCATATGAAGGTCGAGCGGCCCTATCCCCCGGCATGTCGGAAGAAACTTCTGCAGTAGTCACGTGCAAGGGTGGCTCCCGAGGTGAATTTGATGGCTGGCGTGCAGAGGAGATTGCCTCTGCTGGTACTCGTTGTCGTCGTCTTCCTGATTGACGTATTCCTCTACGTGTGTTTGTCGCGCCGGCCGTGGAAACAACATCGCAAGAGGAGGGCGTCAACGAAACAGGCGGCAGGGGAACGTCCGATGGCGGGCATGCAGGGACGCGGTAATAGTCCTTGATGGCGTCATCACACAGCCGGAGGTCCTCCCATGTTGCGCCAGTGCGTCGTTTAATCCACCAACGTGGGGTCTGCCGCGGGAAAATGCCAGACGACAGCGCGAAACACAACTCCACGACTGCTTCGCATGTCGCCACGCAATCCGGCGCTTCGACAACGCTCTGCAACAACGCTCTTCGTTTACGGAGCTGCAAATGCATGTCGCGGGAGGAGGATGACATGTCGCTCATCGCATTCAGGAAGTCACTGCCATCGCCACAACCTCGCTCTCTTCTTCACACAGACCGTGTCCGCAGCCGCGAACGTCCATCTCCGATAATCGTTCCGCCTGTGTAGCGTAACGCGTGTCCACAACCGCCGAAGATGCGCCACCACCTGAACACTGCCGCAGGAGACCACGCACGCCGGAGTCGAAGATGCGCCCGCTGCTCCACACTGGCACAGGATACAACGCACGCCGGAGCCGAAGATACGCCCGCTGACGAAGAGCGCTGCCACAGGAGAATACGCACGTCGGAGTCGAAGACGCGCCCGCTGCAGCGCACGCCGTACCCGAAGATGCACCCGCTGCTCTACGACAGTGGAAGACAGTACGCACATCGGAGGTCAAGATGCGGCCGCTCCTCTACGATGGTGGAAGACAGTACACACACCGGAGGTCAAGATGCGCCCGCTGCTCTACGATGGTGGAAGACAGTACGCGCGTCGGAGGTGAAGATGTGTCGCCGCCGAATATGCCCCCCCTGGTCACCAGTCGCGCAGACTCCAAAGATGGATACACACGTCGAAGGGTTCACCAGCGCCGTTTTTTCTACGTCGCACGCATCGCCTGCCCGTCCTCCGCCCCGCCACCCTGCGTCCGCCAAATTTGGAATTTGAATTTTCGAAGTCCCTCGGCTACGCGCGCTTTTCACCGAAGAGCCCTACCCGACGACGGTCCACCGTAGTGTGTACCACGGGCACCAGCCAGGAATGGACAAACATCGGCGACGCGGCTGCGTATACACATATGAAAAGTGGCCGCGAGAAACCTTTTAGGACGAATCCTAAAAGACGATTTTTAGGATTGCGTGTAACGACACCGCACAAAATCCTAAAAAACCTTTAGAACTCGTCCTAAAAAATTTAGGATTCTTTTAGGAGTGTCTAACGAGACTATTGGCCCAACTATCGGCCATGAAAAAAAATAGAGTAGAAATATTCTTAGTCCGATGAATTTGGGCACTCTTGTAGTTGACCGTACGTTTCCTAAAATCATGGCTCATTAACGGTCGGGACTTTAGGAAGTACTGGTGGTTTAAACCACCAGTTCACTTGAAGCTAAGCAACTGCACTATGATAGTGACTCTGATTGGTGGCAGTTTTAGTGGCCTTAGTTGGGCCGCCAGCCTCTCCGGTCGGACATTCAGTGGGACTCTAGTAACTCCTCTGAGGACTCAGGACTCAAAACATTTTTAGACGAGTTAACTTGGACTGTATCAAAGAGGATTCGACGTCGGCATTTGTGATGATTTCTGCATTGACATTTTGTGTGCATTGACTAACTTTATAAGTTTCGGATACCAGAGGCTCTTTTTTGGATCAAAGGTAGCGAGAAGAAGATGGGGAAATCAAAAGTATGATCAAGATACATGCGGGATAGACTGTGAGTTACCCAAGATAGACCATCGTGTCACCAATCCTTCCAGCACTGCTCCCCGATTTCGAAACACAATATGTGACCGATGCTTCACAAGCCACAGTAAGCTGTGATCCTCCACGTGTTGCACCCTCAATAGTTCGCCCAACCAGGGTAGTTAGACCATATGGTGAAGTCACTCACGCCCAAAATCTGGAGTGAACCTTTTCATCAAGCAGAGGAGACATAATTTTCCTCGCCATTTTTAGCGAAGCGGTGCCACCAACCCTCGACTTTCCTGCAGTATGTCGACCTGTGGCCCAACTTCACAACTCTCATGTCTGTGATCTGACATCATTTGCGGCATGGTTTTTGTTAATTTTACTTGGATTTAACATGTGCAAGTAACGATCCAAAAAACACATTTGCATTTTGTCTACGCACAAAATTACCGATGTCGGTCTTTGAATAAATGAAAGTAGTATTGGTGTCATTGCGCTAATGAAAAATTTATATCCTAGGTCAATACGTAGAAAAATAAGAAAAACACATTATTTTTGTGCTTTAAGTTTAATTCTTTTTTTTTGCCTCTATAGTAACGTGGTTTCCTTGCGCTAATGAAAAATTTATATCCTAGGTCAGTGCGTGGAACAAAAAAACGAACCTTTTTTGTGCTTTCAATTTAATTATTTTTTTACGTTTTTACAGTAACGTGGTTTCCTAGCTCTACACTTCTACGACTACCACTACTACCACTACTACTACTACTACTACTAACACTACGACTACTACGACGACGACTACGACTACTGATGCAATTATATTATACATGCAAATACAACACATTTTATTTTTATTTTTTTATGATCATGTATCATAAAAGTGTATACGTGTGTACGGTGTGTACATAGATGTATGTGAAAGCATAGTTGCAGTACAACATAGTCGCACTCCAATCGGTGTTTTCTAAGGAGATGCATGTTTTCAAAGACTTAAAGATAATTCTCATACAGTTTTTGAGGGCATAGAACAAAAAATAAAAGAAATACAAGTATAAACCACTTGTACTTTTTGGTCTATTTTATAGAACCGACGCACCCTCTGTGTGCTGAGTTTGTGGAGCCTAGAAGCAACGGGAAATAGCAAGAGAGATTTGTTGGTTGGCATCGGTACAACCCTCCATGTTGGACCTACAACCGAAAATTGGAACGAAAGGCGGCGGTCGTTTACTCGTTTTTACTTGTGTGTCATCCCATATCTGACTATAAGTGCATTTAGATGTATTTTAGAAAGTTCCCCTGAAATGAGAGTTGCAGTACAACATAGTCGCACTCCTATCGATGCCTCATAAGGAAATGCATGTTTACAAATACTTAA